AATAGCTACAGGACATTTTATGGCTGTCTGAAATGTCCCAATAAAGTGCTCATGGATTTGACCGAAGTGAGACAACTTCAGTCATTTTGAAAAGATGACAGACTTCCTCACCAATCAACCTCGATGTCTGTCAGGAGTGTCCTGTTGTTAAGTAGTATATCCTGCTGGTCAGCATATGCTAATCTGAAATAAGAAAGAAATATTGATTTTATTGCCAAGGATAAAATAGAAATTAAAATACGACTATACAATAGCTATAAATATAAGAAACATTTCTCTGAGAGGAAATCAAACATTTCCCAGATGTCTCCTCCATCATATCCCACATCCCAGAGGAGGTGCTAAAATCCACAACTATGGTAGCACTGAACACGTTCAGATTTGACGACACAAAAGTTAACTACCAAAGCTGTATGGGTTCCTTCTGCTGGAATGCTGTGCTAGTTTTATTCCAACTCTATCCTGGAATTAACACAGGGAGTTATGAAATCGTCCCTAAATCAGGACTATTATTGGTAAGAGGCAAATGAGGACATTTTTGCTTTTTCCCTAATAGATGCACTTTAGAACTAAATATTGCAAAGAAAATGTGCCTTTTGTTGAAAAAATGCACTTTAAATATTCAAATGAGCAATATAGTTGGTACCCGGAAATGTCCTGACTACACTTTTGCTTTAAAGGGGCACCAATTAAAAATGACAGTGAAAATGAACCTGTTGGAAAAGGTAACTAGTTACAAGTGTTCGTAACTGGAGACATACAGGTTACGTAATGCATTTCAGAACAGCGATACTTGATCCCAATCCCAGCAGGGATCATCTGCCCCTAGCTTTTGTAATAGTTTGGCTCTAAATCTAGGTTTGGCTTATTGCTGTTTTTAAATAGTCTGCTTGCTTGTTTTGACTTTGGTAACTCTGTACTCAGACCCGAGCTTCAAAAATACTTTCACTTTATTAACAGTTTCCACCAGCTTCAGTATACAGGATGTGACACAGCCTCTCCTGGACTTGTTTATTCCTATTTCGGACTGAACAGCTCTTCACAGATTAATATCTGATCAACAGACACAGGTGGGGATGAGACACTTCCACTGTGAATGTTTGTTTCTCCTATAGGCCCGATTGATTAACTTCCAGACTATACACTCTTGAGGGAGGGAGGCAGCAATACTCCGAAATCAGGTACAGGGATGATACCAATTCCAAATCCCATTTGGTCTGTTAAGAGAGGAAAGCTAATTTAAAAATATGCCCCTGCTAGAAAACTGAAATCAATTAGTGCATTATTAAAAATTCAGCTGGAGCAAAAACCAGAAGCCAGTGTTCTCCCAGGAGTAGGGCTAGGAACCACTGCTCTAAGCTGAGGCAATTAAAGAAAAATATTGGTCTGACTCGCTTATTATTGTCTCTTGTTTCTCCGATTCAATGGAGACTTCAAACACTAGGACCATCTCTGTCTGGAGAGCAGAATTCTGGCAGGAATAGCTACAGGCATTAAAAAAACATTTTAGAAAAATTTGCATGCGCAGAGATGCACTGCTCTGATCTCCAGAGAATAAAACATACCCTTGTTTCCAAGATTTAATAAATGTACAGCCCAGCAATATATGGGGAAAGTACACTGCAGGATGTCCCTGCTTCAGCAGAACTGAAGAACTGGTAACTTTGAAAAAAAAACATAATTACACTCCAACTGAGCAAAGCCTCCAGAACTCTTGGGCAACGTGGGTTTGAAGTCTGGCAAATTCAGCTTCAGAATTTTGGGCTTCTTTGAACGATGCATTCTGGTGGTCCACATGGGAAGGATTTTAGTGGTGGATCTTCCAACAGTCTTAATATCAAGGCCACTCTGAAGTTGTCGAGATGGGTTCCCGGTAAAAAAAATTGCAGAGCACTGATCCGATGAGAAACATTTCTTACAGGTTTCAGAAATACAGTGAAACTTTTTGTAATCACTTTCTCTGATCCGCCAAGCCTGTGCCTGAGAATAACCTGAGCAAATAAGGACAGCTACTGGGAATCTTTGCGGGTCACATTTTTCAATTGAACAATTCAAATTTTTAAGTGAGGTCTGTTTACTGCAACACTGTAAAACACCTTGACCAATGAAAATGTCTTATCCAACAGGAACTTTCAGAAGAATTCTGATTGTGCACTCACAGGGACAAATGCAGCTTCATTGACTGCCTGTCGACACCGATGTTTTATTTATTATTAAACCCTTCCTACAGAAAAAAAAATGAAAAGCTTTGATCTGCTTTGAAATTCAGTCCTTGGTTGAGTGTGTTGCAAGTGGGGAAAAAACCCCAATTCAAATGCATTGTAAATTGAAGGAACACATACATGAAAGCAGCTCTTCCCTTGAACTAGAAGGAGAGGACCCTACAGAGACTCTGTAGACCTACCATGCTCACCTGGGTTGTAGTCGATTGTATTTTCAGATACACACCCTAACGAGATACCTTACGATCCCAATCAGCTAACCAGCCAGTTGGTTCGTCAGCTGTTGTGAAATTTTAATTTTAACCAGCTTCAAACTATAATTTACCAAGTTTCTGATTATTTTCCTAGTGCAATATCATGCACCAACTCAGGGGAGGGTGCTGAAATTGTTTAGTATTATGTACAAAGGAATACTTCAAGTCAGTGTAAAACAACTCCTAATTAAGCATACGTTTCAAATTTGAAAGGAATTCTGGGCACTCTAAAACCAGTTGAATTCTGGGCACTCTAAAACCAAAGACATGCTGAAGTAAAAGATAAAAGCTACTTTGTTCCCATCATCTGCAATGGCCTTTTCAGAAAGCTCGAAATCTTTCAGATAACTGGGTGGCCAACCTTGGTGCTGGAGAGCCACAATCCAGCTGGTCGTCAGCCTTAAATCACCAATTTAGAAGAACTTGGAACGTGTGGGTTGGGATCATTTTAGTAAGTTAATTGGTCCAATCAGGTAAGCTTCCAATCAGGTGAAGAAAAGCTTACTGTGGTTCTTGAGTTACAGAGTGAGATTTTCATTTCCAAGGATTTCTAAACTACGTATTTGACCAAACCTTAAAACTTGTTTTAAGAGAGTAGAACAGGCCCTGAAACAGCTTGCTAAAACAAGCGCAGTTGAACTACGACGATGAGCTGTACAGAAAAGCTCTCAACATCGATCACTCCAGAAAAAAATAACGTATCTCCGCAATGACCACAATTCTTCCAGTGTTTTACATGGTGCCTGCCTTTCATCAGGATTTTAGCAGTTGATTTTTTTGGCTTATAACTCATGTTGAAAAGGGTTTCTCAGAAACACCAAAAGCCAACAAAACTCAAAGCACTAAAATAGTGCCAGAAGACGCAACAGTGATCCAGTTGACTTAGCATATGAACACAGCCATGTCCCATGGCTGGAATTATTAAAAGCAGATTTAAATCAGGCAAGCAGAAAAAAAAACCACCAGGGTTAGAATAACAATGCCCACACAGAGCAGAACAAGCAGAAGCATCACTCCCAACACAAAAAACACCTGGTCAATTTCTGTGGCGTTTAGACTACTGGAAACGGGGGGGATTAGTGTTCTACTTTTCTGAAGAAAGAGTGTGGGAAAAGGTTGTAAACTTTATTACCAATGTTCTCCACTGCTTTTCATCCATTTCCAAGCTCGACTGCTTGAGGCACAGTGAAGCAAGCACAGGCTAGTCTATTTGTCACTGGATGCTGGTGGGAAATTCCCACTGAATGTCTTCCTTTCCGCAGACTGCTGTATAATATACATTCTCAACCCAGGCTGCTCATATTCCTCTCGACAATTACTGGCAAAGGATACATTGCTGGGAGATTTGAGTCTTTGGCCTTGATATTCGCATTTTCAGTCGAAACACACGTGAGTGACATGCAGCACAGCATATCGAGTTGGGGGGTGGGGGTTCAACTTTTCATTTTGCTTATTTCTTCTGTGCCTCACACATAAATGTAATATTTTTTCCCCGACAGAATCAGTACAGAAAGAACTGCTTTAAGTTCCATTCTGCGTTAAAATCCAGTATTTCCTAATTATACAAAAAGGCGAAGAATTCTGACACACTACTGAATCCTATCGTGGACAGTAATATTTATGTTACTGTAGGTTTCCTAGGAGAATTTTACAAGAAAATAAAAATGCTTAAACCACCCTCCATTAGGAATTTATTTCAGCTTTCAATCCATGACAGTCCTGTACCAGTACAAAGCATCTTTCTGACCGCTGGCTTCCGGGAGGTGTGGGGGTGTGTGTGCGAGGAACAGACCGTCCACACCCTGCTCATTGTTCTTAAAAGTGACCCTATTCAGGGTCATTCGGCATGTGACACCACTTGGGGCACGGCTAAGGGGTCTGCACTGCACACTGCAAAACGAACCACAAAAATGCCAGCTCGCTTCTCCCAAAGATAACCCCCCTCCCCACACACACAGACACCTCCTTCACAACGCCAAGGCAAGTAAAAACAAAGAAAATCCTGCTCTCTGGGTTCAGCACCTCCAGGCAGGAGCAGGGCTGTCGGCACGCTATCTCGCGGGGAGCTCTGCTCCAGCTCTCCCCGATGTGCCCCCGTTGGTACAGAGCAAAGGCTCTGGGAGAGACAAGCCCCTGTGGCACAGCCCACAGCCCACACCCCCGGCTGGGAAGGGGCCCCACAGCCTATCTCCATCTCATCAATCACAGGCAGGCCAGACACAAGTGCCCCAGTGGATAAGGCTGCAGAATCTCTTCCCAATTTGTACACCAAGGCGAAGCAAGGAACTCAGTGAGATTGGAAGGAAACGCATAGTTTAGTAGGGCCACAGCTTTTGACCACAGCTGGTTTGCAGAGAAGTGCTCGCACGTCCAGCATAGTGTAAGGATATATACTCCTGGCCTGATTTATAGCCATGTATATCATTACCGATTTGAAACAGCACATATTAATATTGGCTTTCAAACAGAAGTGAAGCAGAAGTCCATAGCATTTCGCTCAGAGGCAACAGTATTCAGATAAGGAGCAGTGATGATGTGGAACACTTGTTTTAGAATTCCTACATTTTAAAGTTAAGTGCACCAGCTCACATTCAGCTGTAAAGGGGGAATACCTTGTATAAAGTAGGTTTTGAATATAACATTGCAAGTCAAAAACTCCCCCCCAAAAAATAAAATGCTGTTTGACAGTTGCTGCACTCCAGCTCTC